GTAACCGGATGGATGGATGGATGGATGGATGGATGGATGGATGGATGGATGGATGGTTGGATGGATGGGTGGATGAATGGGTGAATGGATAGGTGGGTGGATGGATGGGTGAATGGATGGATGGATGGATGGATGAATGGATGAATGGATAGGTGGGTGGATGGATGGGTGAATGGATGGATGGATGGATGGGTGGATGGATGGATGGATGGGTGGATGGATAAATGGATGGATGGGTGAGTAGGTGGGTGGGTGGATGGATGGATGGATCGATGGATGGGTCGATGGATAGATGGATGGACGGATGGATGGATGGGAATAAAGAGGGCTCAGAGGAAAGCCAAGAATCTCCAGACCCAGCACAGACACCCTCCCGGAATGAATCCAGGAAATTATGAGCAGACAGCGAACAGCGACATTAAGTCCTGGTGCATGGCACTCCGAGTCACCGCGGCCCCTGCTTCCCGCTAACCTATTAAATTCCAGGGACAGCATGCATTCCCCCAGCAGCTGCCTGTTCATTTCTAATTCCACTTTAATCATTCTCCAGTTGGTCTGCCCTCGCCTCCCTCTCCGGGAAGAGGGAGCTGAGAACAAGTGTGGGTGGGTCTAACACGGAGGGACCAGCCAGCGTGCCATCCCAGCACTGGAGATGCCGGCCAAAGGCAGGATGCCAGGCTCAGTGGAGGGGCACCCCTGCAGCCTGCTCCCCGCGACTCCATGCCCTGCCCCCCTTCCAGGAGCGAGTGCCGGCAGTGGTTCAAAGCACTGGCCCAGTGATGGGAGGACAGGATGCCCCATCCCCTTCACCTCACCGGGTAAACAGACAGCACCCTGGCCCACACCAACCACTCTCCTGAGGCTCCTGGATGGCATAAACAGTTAAACACGCAGCTGTTCCAAACATCCCAGTGGCCTGCGCAAGTAAGGCCTGGCAATCTATTTCTACAGGATGGTGGTGGCGGCTGCTGAGCCAACCCTGACTTGTGACCAGCCATGTGCTACAGTGGGGAGGGTCCCAGCCAAGAAGGCCCCGTGGCTTGATGCTGCGGTGGCACCCGCAGAAGAGCCCCCAGACCTGACTTGTTCACCTTGCCTGCCTTTTGCGCTGGCTCAGGAGCTGGGTTTTGTGGGCGACTAGAGAAGGGAAGCTGAGGACTTCCTGCCCAGGGAGCCTCGGGGCGAGGCTGACGAGTCGCAGGCCAGGCAGCCTGCAGGCTGGAGAAGAGGCGAACCCCCAACCCACTAGCCCGCTGCCATCACATTGATGCCCACTCACGGCAGCCCAGCAGCCTCAGGCTTGGCGGGGGTCTGGGGAGCCCTGCACAAACCTCACAGGGATTCGGGTTGTCGTTGTCAGGCGCATCCAGTTGGTTCTAACGCATAGCAACCCCGATGGACAGTGGAACGGAACACCACCCGGTCAGTCTGGCACCGTCCTCACGATCGTCATTCTCTCTGAGCCCAGGGTGGCAGCTGCTGTGCCCGTGCACCTCGCCGAGGGTCTTCCTCTTTTGTCCTTGCCCCTCCACTGTACCAGGCATGATATCCTTCTCCCGGGACTGGCCTCTCCCGACAACACGCCCAGTGTACGTGAGATGAAGTCTCGCCATCGCTGCCTCTAAGGAACAGGTGGGCTTAGTACTGAGGACTTCTCCCGAGACAGACTTGTTTGTTCTCTTGGCGGTTCATGGAGCTTCAGTAGCACGAGTGGATTTGTACGTGAGGACATGGGACAAAGGGAAGCGTCTGCTCGAGGGGGCAGTGTAGGAGCCGGCAGGCAGTGCTGGGAGCACCCCGCCCCCCTTTAGGGGCTCTGTATCCACAGGGACAGTAGCGGCAGAGCTTGGCTTTGTCCTTGAGTGTGAGATTGGGGGGCGGGGCAGAATACAGAGCATACACCCCTTACCAGTGATGCTTGCTGAGCAGAGGGTTAGAGAGAGCTGAAGATATTGACGCCTGCTGTCCCAAGCCAGTCTCAGCTGGGGGATCTTGCTGAAGGGTTAGAGAAAGCAGAGAGAATGCTTGGCTGAGGGGAGGGCGAAGCTGGACCGGGGCTATTTTCCCTCCATTTCCGTGAGGAGTTTTTATAAAGACTAACCGAAATCGGAGGCAACAGGAGAGAGGCTCGCTGGACCTGATGTGCTGGCACCAGGTGCCTGGGGCACACCTGTCACTCACCAGCCAGACCTGGTATGGCATGTGTGGCTTTCTGGGCGCTGGGAAGGAGTGCCCTTTGAAAGGTTGCAGAATCAGCCCCTGCAGCCCCTTCTGCCCCGAGGGCACTGCTGAGCTCCGGGGATTCTCTCGGGCCACTGAAGCCACAGGCAGCGTGGATGTGCAAGGGGCAGAGAGCCAAAGCCTCCAACCTCGCCCCGAGCTTCGCTTGGTACCAGGTCTTCTATCCTTGTAACCCATCCTGTCTGGTCGTCACTACAGGTGCCAGATGACCCCAGCGGCACTGGGGTAGGGGGGTGTCTGACAGGCAGGAGGGTGGTAGGAGAATTGGAAAAACGTCATCCCAGAACATTCCAGCCTGAATCCCTGTTCAGGGCTTCAAGGAGAAGACGTGGATGGTCTCACTGGGAAGAGGGGCACAGAGAGGACCATGTGACCCAGCCGCCGGGCGGGGGTGGGGGGCAGAACTGATGCGGAGGCACCAGTCTGACACCGGCGTCAGCGGACGCAGGCTGATGACGAGTTGTTGAGTTAGGTGCTGTCAGGTCGTTTCGGACTCACAGTGACCCTACAGGTCAGGGCAGAACTGTCCCCCGTGGGATCCGAGCCTGCCCTCTTTTATTTTAAATGTTGTTTTATTGACGTTTGGTTCACATATCATAAACTTCCACAATTCATCTCTACAACCAGTTCTAGAATATTTTCTTCCCTCGTGTTCCTTACTAGCTCCCCATTTCCCTCCAACCTACTCCCCCAAGTGCCCTCAATAAGGCTCCAGTCCAACTACTGTCTCGGAAGCTTCCTGCACATCTATTCACATGCACTGGAAAATATACCCCCCCCCCAAAAAAAAAAGACCAACAGTAACAAAATAAACTAGAGAAAAAAACCCAATTGAGAAAACAAGCAAGGTGTATTCTAAACTAGTACAGTACAAATTTAAAATGGATCAAAGGGAGATGAAATGACCAGGGTCACATTTTAACCTAGCTGCATCATCAGGACAGCAGTTACGATACTCTGTCTGAGAACAACGCTTTTCTCATCTCTTGACCACATCAGAGGGGATTCACCAGAGGCTTAACCCATATGTGGACTCTACGCATGGATTTGGGGCTCACACAGTCATCCCTAGCTTCCTATAAATCAGATATTCACAACGTACACTCTGATACCCTTCCCTTCTTTGGATTTGGTTTTTATTATCTATCATCCTTGAGACTGGGACTCTGTATGGGAGTTGAAAGCCTTATCTTTCTCCTGTGGAGCGGCTGGTGGTTTCGAACTGCTGACCTTGTGGTTAGCAGCCCAATGCAGAACCCACTCCGCCACCAGGGCTCCACGATAGTGATGCCCTCTAAAGTCACTGAGAAGACTGACTTAGCCAACAGCGGACCACTGGTCCTGGGGAAACACGGGTTCCGTTCCTGAAAGCCTCTGGTCACACCTGTTGACCAACACATAGCCTTCCTTGTCTCCAGGCGTGCTTTGGATTGAAGGACAGCACCTCACTGAACACACACTGCTGACTCACTACCTTGGTGCTCACGGCCAGCAGCGCTGCCCCTCCTGCTCCAGTTGGCACCCTCATGTGCTCTCAGGAGGGGGCACCTGGAAACCTTCGTGAGCTCAGAAACATGACACAGCCCACCCACGTTGCACCTGGAGTCGCTTTAGAGAGCAAGAGCACCCACAGACCGCAGCGATGCAGCAGCAGTCTGGACATGAGCCTGCAGCAGGACAAGAGGGCAGAGGGATGCCTTGCTCCTCCTCAGCTGCGGACATGCCTGCAGGGCCGCCCAGGTCTCCCCTACCCTGCTCACGGCCTCAGCTGACCAGGAAAACGGTGCAAGGAGGGATTGGGGGGTTCCCAGTAAAAATCTGTGACCTAAGAGGCCAGCAGGGAGAGGGCAAGGCTGGGAATGGAGGAGACTCCCCAGGGAGAGGGTGTGGTCATTACATAATTTCCTATTAACGTGAAGTGTAGGGGTGGAGTGTAGCCTGTCAATCAGGTCACAGCCTGCCGGTGCCTCCTTGTGGGCGTGGCCTCCTCATAAGGAGGGTCCTGGGAACCTCTCCCCCTCTCTCTGCGGTCACCTTCCTGTTGACAACACGTGGAGACCTGCCAGCGCCCTGGAGATGTGTGCACCACCATCGGATCCACAAGAGTTCGCACCCACTGGCTGGCCGGTGGTGTTCCTGCATCCTGCATCATTGCAGGTGGCTGCGTGAGCCTGAAGAGGGATTTATGGACTAGTCTCAGGCTTACGGACTTGATCTGGACTGGGCTGGGATGTTTGCTTGATATGTAATGACTTCTTGATATCAAGCTCTCTCTTGCACGTAGATGAGTATCACTGGATTTGTTTCTCTGGTCAACCCAGAGGGTGCTCAGTGGGAAGGAAGGAGGCTGTGCAGACAGGTCCCTGTAGAGCACCCGCAGATAAGAAGGACCTGCTGATGGCCAGGCAGGCAGGACAGCCCGGGTCCAGCCAGTCCAGGAGAGGCCTTCAAACAGGAGGGGTCAGTTAACCATCTCAGCGGCTCCCCATTTCACACGTTCAACAGGCTCCAGGGACAGCGTGCAAGGTATCTGTGCTTTGATGCACTCACTGGAAAACGGCTCCCCAGGATGGCTCATTTGAAAGAAAACATGGCGTCAACCTGCCCTCTGGTATGACCTCCTGTCTGCCCCCTCCCCTAAGGGCTGGGGTGCACAGGAAATGTGTGCAGGCGGAGAGCCAGCCAGGGACAACCTATTCCCCCAGTAGCAGCAGCAGCAGCAGCGCCTTGGGACACTGCATGTCCCGGGGAGCCCTTACCTGGCACTCTCAAAGGTGGCAGACGCCGTCTTCTCTATGGCCCCAAATCCAACACCAACAGCAAGACCCTCTGAAAGAGACGGAGAAGAGCACCGGGTGGGGGTTAGGGGAGGTTCCCCAGGAGGTGCGTGGTCAGCACTGGGCCCAGAGCCAGGGGAGCCACCTAGTGGGGTGGGAGCCTGGGGATGGCCACCTAGTGGACTGAGGACCTGGGGTTGGCTGCCTGGCAGAATGGGGGCCTGGGGCCAACCAAGCACGGCCCCTGGGCCAAAGCAGCCCCCCACCTCCACACACACACAGCCTGCTTGTAGGATGGCTGGTGGGCTGAGAACAGTTTGCATGTTTCTAAACGGTTGCATTTTGGGAGGGGGGAAATAAATGATAATATTTCTTTTAAAAAAATGAAGCGCCACATCTTTAACTTTATTAATTCAATTAAATGCTTATTTTTAGCACTTCATTCCACCCTCCCACCCCACCCCAGCCTTTAGTTTGATCACACTAGAGGATGGGAGGGAGGGGCACAGACGTCAGTTCTGTATGCGGTTCATGACGCACAAAGACGCGAAGCAGGGAAGCAGCCAAGAGCATGGTTTTATGATGATGATGATGACGACTCTTTCCTGAAGACCCTCTCTTCTCTGCGTGTCAGTGAGCCGCCTTCCCCCAGTTCTCTTTGTTTTATTATTGTTAGTTTTAGTGCTTAAAAACGTTTTCAACGGTTTGACTTAGAATTCACCTATCATACAATTCGATGGTTTACACATGCGGACCTGGTTCCACAGTGACCTTCTGGATCCCCCTCCACGAACAAGCCCCCCCGAATCTGTCCACACACAGCCATTCCTATGCTCAAGCCCAAGCCCATGTGGAAGCCACTGTGCCTGTCCACCTGGCTGAGGGCCTGCCTCTATCTCGCTGCCCCTCCACTCGACCAAGCATAATGGAAGCGATGACCGGACAGTGAGACGTCTCAGCCGTGAGCAGTCATCCCCACACTCGACCGTCAATGACAAGCCACAGGGCAGGCTGGGGAGAGCATCTACAGGAGAATGGCCGGGGCGTGCTGAACCCGCGGGGCGGAGGAAATGTGCCGCTTAGGCGCACAGCCCAGGTGCACAGCCAAGGTGTGAATTAGACAGGTAATTAAGACAGAGACCAAAGGGACAGGTGTGGTGAGTACAGTGTCTGGTCTGGGGTCTTTTCACAGCATCTGCCACTCACGCAGGGACAAAGAGAAGGGAAATTAACTGCCAAAGAGAGTTTGTGCGGAGACGGATGCTGTGGGGTGGGCTGGGGAGGAGGGGTCAGACATGGCCCTGCGTGTGTCTGAGGGCCTGACTGAGCCTCTGTGTGTCAAGCTGAGGCCAGGAGGCAGTTAATGTTAAGGTCAACGGAGTGACCAGAAGCACAGGTCAGGGCAGGCCAGCCCTGGCTGGGCAGTGACCCTGCAGGCAGAAAGGACAACCTTTCCAGAGGCTCAGGGCACTAAGGAGTTCCTGGCCTGCCTCTGAACAGGACTCAGTTCTACTTGGAAACAAGCCCCCGGGGAGTAGGGATGCTTCCCACCCTGCAGTGAGATCCTATGACCTCTGAAACAGGGACAGACCTGTCCCCAGGCCACCAGGATTCCTCTCCTTGATTCCAATTCCTGGCAGGCAAGGAAGCAGCTGGTTAGGCAAGCCACCCTCCCTGCTGCCCCTCTTACCCTCCCCCCAGTCCTTTCCCCCACCCCACCCCTGCCCCCAAGCGAGCCTGATTGCAACTCATGGAGGTCCCATGGAATGGAGAGGCCTGTGTTCCGAGGCTGTCTCCTCTGACACCTTGATGGAAGGGGTTTCCAGCACTTTCTTCAGCTGCACAGCTGCACAGGCACGGATGGTTCATTTTTAAGCTCATGGTGCAACGAAAACTGTGTGCACCACATTCCCGGGGTGGGAGCGGAATGTTTGGGGGACCCTGGGGATTAGGGTCAGAATCGTGTAAGGAGGCAGGTAGGGGGAAAGGACCGGGGAGAACTGATGGCTCCCACCCATCTAAGCCCAAACAAGCACTCTGTGCTAAGTGGGTGCTGGGCGGCTACGGCAGGGGGCTTTCTCGTCGCCCTGAGGAGCAGGGGCTATGGTGGCCCCAGCACTGTATCTGCTTGCTGAAGACCAAGGGTACCTGGCCCACTGACCACCTGCCTGCTCCTGGGGGGACCATTAGGGGGGAGCCAGCTCTGAGGGGTGGACAGTTCGAGGGGCCAGCGGAGAAAAGATGCTCTCAAGCCACCCCCAGGGCTTTAGCCCCAATCTCAAAAGCACCGAGAAGGAAGCTGTAGCAGGAATTCCAGCCCCTCATCCTCCAAGAAGGGGCACTGGTGGCCTGGTGCTGGGCTACTCACCGCAAGGTCAGCAGTTTGAACCTGGCAGCTGCTCTGCAGGAAAAATAGAAGGCTGTCTGCCCCCACATAGGTTGACAGCCTGGGAAACTCACAGGGGCCAGTTCTACTCTGTCCTGCATGGTCACTATGAGTCCATATAGATTCAATGACAGTTGGGTTTGAGGTCCTTCTGAGCTGGAGATGCACCCTTCCTGAGAGCACCCACAGGCAGCCTGGCCTCTCACCTGGCCCATAAGCAGGTAAGGGAAGGGGACTTGTTACCTGAAGACTGAGGATTTACAGGGAAAGCTGCAAAGCAGAACAGGGCCCTCTCCTGCCACTGTCCAGTGGATCTGTTGGCCCTAAGTGGTGGACAGCTGCTGATGGCTGCTGCTCAGCCTCTGCTTTCACAGGAAACAGCGCTGTGGGCTGGGTCCCAGATTCCCGAAGGCTCTCTCGACAAAGGGAGAGGAGGCCTGGTGCCAGCACCATCTATTCATCCCTCTAATAACTTAGTTTTATTTTTGTTGTTGAGTGTGTGCATAGCATAACATATACCAACCCCACAGCTTCCACAATTGCCAACCAACCAATACCAACCCAACAGCTTCCACAGGCCCCGTTTGGTGACACTGATTACTGTCTTTGAGTTGTGTAACCATTCTCAAACAATTTTCCAAATGGTCTCTCGTTCACCCAAACTCACTGCTCGGATTCCCTACTTAACCTTCTGAGTTCTTGTCACTTGCTCCCAGGTAGATGCACAGATATTAAAACAAGGCAGGTGTCCCTCACGAGTTAACGACTGTCTTTAAGAAGAGTTTGGGGGTATTTTCTCGGTCTGGGGTTCAAAGGAAACTTGGAAGGCAGCTACTTGGCCAACTGACTGGAAGAGAGCCATATGTGTGCCCATTCTAAGGAAAGGTGACCCAGAGAACGATGTCACTGACATCACACACAGGTAAAACTGGGCTGAAGAACATCTGATACAGGTCACGGTAGCCCAGTGACAGGGAGTGGCCAGCGGCTCAGGCTGGACTCAGAAGAGGACGTGGAATGAGGGATTACACTGATGAAGTCCGATAGATCCTGGCTGAAAGCAGGGAATGCTAGAGAGAGCGTTGTCTTTCATTGACGATACCAAGGCATTTGACCGTGTGGACCATAGTAAACTATGGAGACCCTTGAGAAGAAGCGGGATTCCAGAACACTGGACTGGGCTCCTGCCGAACCTGCCCATGGATCAAGAGACCGTTGTGCAAACCGAACAAGGGAATGCCGCATGGTTTTAAGCCAAGACAGGTGTATGGAGGGTTGTATCCGGATCTATCCGTATACTGAACAACTTATCGGAGAGACGATTGTGTGAAGAAGGAGGGGGCATCAGAGATGGAGGCAGGCTTAGGGACAACCTGAGAAATGCAGACGACACGACCTGGCTTGCGAAAGGCAAGGACGTGAAGCGCTTGCTGATGAAGGTCAGGGGCGGCAGCCTGCAGCGTGGATTAGGACTCAGTGTGAAAGAGGCCAAAGTCCGCACCCCTGGCCCAGCAGGAAACATCATGATGAAAGGAGCACTAGTTGGGATTGTTGAGGATTTTGTCTCACTTGGATTCACAACCAAGCCCAAGGGGGCAGCAGTCAAGAGACCGAAAGACGAGCTGCATTGGGTCCACCTGCTGCGCAAGATCTCCCTAGGGTACTGAAAGGACTGAGGGCTGCCTGACTCAAGCCGAGCCACGCATTCTCCTTGCCTCCGATGCATGTGAACGTTGGGCCACTGAAGGCTGTTTGCTGGAGAATACTGAACATACCCTGGACTGCTACAAGGACAAACACGCCTGTCATGGAAGCCATGGATCCAGAGTGCCCCTGAAAGGCAAGGATGGCAGGACTTCGTCTTACCGTCTTTGGACCTGCTGTCAGAAGAGACCAGCCCTAGAGAAGGACACCACGGCTGGTAAAGAGGAAGGGCAGCCTCGACAAGATGGGTTGACACGCTGGCTGCAACGATGGTTTCGGTGTGGGAATGATTGTGAGGATGGCGCAGGGCCATGCGGGGCTGTGTTCTGTTTGTGCACAGGGTCTCTGTGAGTCGGAGTTGCCTCCACAGCACCTAACAACAACAACAACAACAACAGCGTTCGGAGCTGGTTTCTTCACTGGCTCTTTGGACGCAGAGGGTCTTGTTGACTGTCCTGTGATTTTCAGGGCTTTAGGGACAGAGGGAAGGGCTACTTGGCTCCCTGGCAGACTTGGGAACACAGTGAGGCTCAGGGGTCGGTCTCGGTTGACGACGACCCCAAGGTGCGGGCTCCTTCATCCCTTATCTGACTTGACTCCCTCCGTGGTATCTCTAAAAGGCAGCCGAGGCACTAGCTGCTGAAGGGTTAGGGCAGGACTGTGTTTCACGGAAGGGCTCGATCACGATTGTATTGGATTACACGAGGGCAGGCCGTCCAGAGCGGACATTTCTGGAGAGCAGTCACATTTCATAAGAAGCCCTCCATTCCCCATAGTTCAGCAATTGCTGGGTGCCAGGAGGTGGGCCTCTGGGGGCTCCTCAGGGCACACGGTACCGTGGCCATGCCATATGCTCCCCAGGCACAGCTGGCCTCGCACACGGCATGCAGGCCCTGTCGGCTAAGAAGAGGGGCAGGTGGAGGAGTCCCAGCCAATGGTTCAAGTCTGGACCCTTCGCGGAA